ACACATACTGGGGACGGGGCTCGGGCGGTGGTGTCGGCCCAGACCGCGTTTCTGGACGTGGGGGCCGCTCGGGCTGCCGCGCCACGTTTCTATGCGCGAGTTGGCGGTCGATGTTTTCGACGTCGATGGCCGAGCGGATCAAATGGGACGCCCGCGGTACATAGACGAACGATTCCCGATGCTCCGTGCGCTCGAACACGGTCGAAAAGGGTGCGGGGGACGCCGAAAACCCTCTTCCGACCCCTTGGGACGCCCCGCGCGCGATGCGACGCAATCCTCGGGAGTGACATCCCGCGGGGAATGTGTCCGCGACAGGGTTCCGGTCCTCGCAGCCGCGGGGATCGTTGCGCAACTCTGCGCCTGCGTCGAGCTACGGGCTGGAGAAGACGAGAACTTCGTCCATCGACGCTGCAAAAGGGCTGCTCGCAGCCTGATTGTTTGAGTTGCTTTTTCGAGGAATCGGTCGAGTTGCTTTTTTTAGTTTTTAGCCCGGCGGGTTAGCGCGCTCGGGCGCATGATGATGCATCTCACAGAGTGGCACGATGAGTTGCGCCGAGCGGCGGCGCGACGGCGCGAGCCGGCTCCGCCGTGACTCGCAGACGTGACACGATGCGCGCGCCGAGCGGCGGCGCGACGGCGCGCGTCGGCTCCGCCGTGACTCCCAGAAGCGACACGATGAGCGCGCCGAGGGGCGGCGCGACGGCGCGCGTCGGCTCCACCGCGCCGGCAGCAGCGACACACGATACGACGAGCGCGCCGAGCGGCGGCGCGGCGCGGATCGGCTTCGCCCCGCCGCCGCCGCTGGCGGCGGCGCCCGCGGAGCCCGCGGCGGCGGCGCCCGCGAAGGCGGCCGCGGCGCCGGCGGCGCGGCGGCGCGGGCGCCGCGGCGAGCGCAGCGTGAAACCGGGCTTCTCCTTGATGGACTGGAACCGGCGCGCCGGCGCGGCGACGGGCTGGGACGCGCGCGCGGGCGGGCCCGAGAGGCGCGTGGCGCGGTCGGAGCTCGCGGGCCACGCGTCCCCGCGCGACTGCTGGATCGCGCTCCGCGGACGGGTCTACGACGCGACGCCGTATCTCCCGTACCACCCCGGCGGCGAGGAGATCATCCGCCGCTGCGGCGGCCGCGACGGCACCGCGGCCTTCGACGCGGCGCACCGCTACGTCAACGGCCACGCCATGCTCGTCGCGTGCTACGTCGGGCCGCTCGTCGACGAGGACGGCGTCCCCGTGGCCGACGCCGCGGACGGCGACGACGCCTCGTCGTCGTCGTCGTCGTCGTCGTCGGGGTCGTGACGGCCGACGCCCGGCTTGCCGAGGAGTTAAAGCAACGCCGGGGCGCGCGGCAAACGGGGACTGCAAGGTGGACTGCAACACGAAGCTTCAGATAGCGAGCCTCGCGCGGCTCGCTGTCGCGTCAATCGTCCACGCCAGCCGCCTCGAGAAATAATATCCAGTTATGGCAGCCTTCACGACCAGCGGCCTCTCCGAGGCACAGATGGCCGCGCTCAAGGCGACGGCCGACGCCATGTCCGCGCCCGGCAAGGGGTTCCTCGCCTCCGACGAGTCCGCGGGCCCCTGGCTCCGCGCGGGCCACGTCGACGCCAAGAAGATCGAGGACACGGCGGAGAACCGCGCGGCCTACCGGGCCATGCTCTACAAGACGCCCGGCCTCTCGGAGTACGTGTCGGGCGCGGCCCCGCGTCAACGTGGCGCGGCGCGCGCCGCGCGCGCGGGGCGGGTCGCCCTCCGGGGGGCCGCGTCAACTTGGGGCGCGGCGCGCGCCGCGCGCGCGGGGCGGGTCGCCCTCCGGCCGCGGACCGGCGCGCGCGCCCCGACGCGGCGACGTCCGCCTCCGGGCGCCTCCCGAAAGACCCCTCCATCCCATCGCGGCGCGCGCGACGCGCACGCCGCCGCTCCCGACCGCAGGCGTGATCCTCCACAAGGAGACGCTCTTCCAGTGCGACGCGACGGGCGCGAAGATGGTGGACCTCATCACGGGCAACGGCATGATCCCCGGCATCAAGCTCGACAAGGGCTACGACAAGAAGCTGGGCCTGCCGGGCACGGCCGTCGGCCCCCTCGGCCACCAGGAGACGTGGTGCAAGGGCATCGACGACCTCGAGCAGCGCTGCGCGGACGCCTACGCGGCGGGCGCGCGCTTCGCCAAGTGGCGCAACGTGCTCCAGATCGACCCGGCGTCGGGCATCCCCAGCGACCTCGCCATCTCCGTCTGCGTCCGCAACCTCGCCGAGTACGCGGCGATCTGCCAGCGCCAGGGCCTCGTGCCCATCGTCGAGCCCGAGATCGTGCCCAACGGCACGCACGGCATCGAGGTCTGCGCCGCCGTCACGGAGAAGGTCCTCGTCGAGCAGTTCGCGGCGCTCAAGCTCCACAACGTCTACCTCGAGGGCGCGGTGCTCAAGCCCAACATGGTCAAGAACGGCATCGACGGGCCCAAGGCCTCGCCCGCCGAGGTCGCGGACCTCACCGTCGCCGTGCTCAAGCGCACCGTGCCCTCCGCCATGCCGGGCATCTTCTTCCTCTCGGGCGAGACCGCGCTCGACGAGGACAACGAGGAGACGGCGACGATCAACCTCAACGCCATGCACGCGCGCCACAAGAACCTGCCCTGGGCCCTCTCCTTCTCCTTCGGCAAGGCCCTCCAGAAGACGTGCATCGTCACCTGGATGGGCAAGACCGCGAACGAGCCCGCCGCGCAGAAGGCGCTCCTCGACCGCGCCAAGGCCAACTTCGTCGCGGCGTCCGTCGGCACCTACGTCCCGGGCTCCTGCGCCTCCGTCGGCGCCAAGGGCAACACGGCCATGCAGGGCGGCGCCTACTAGGCCGCGCCGCTGGACCCGGCGCGGGCCCCCAGGCCCGCGCGCGCGCGCGCCGCGGCGGCCCCGCCCGCCCCTCCCCCCCCCGCCCGCCGCCCCCCTAAGCACGCCGCGGACCCAGCTGGTGGGGGGTGCGTACGCGTTCGGTGATGGGAGTCGGCGCGACTCGGCGCGAGCCGGGGGCCCCGGGCCGCGACCGGCCCGGGCCGCGCGGCTTTGCTCGCGAGGTTTGGACGTCCGGAGCGGTCGTCACGGTAACGGAGGTGAGTGCCGAGAACTCGAGCGGCGCAGATAGCGGCCACTGATGTCCACCCGGCACGCGCGCCGGACGTCTAGTAGGGGCCCCTAGGCAACGCGCGGTCCCGGGGACGCCGCCGGGACGCCGGGACGCGGGATCCGGGACGCGGCGGGACGCGAGCCCGACGCGCCCGGACCGGCCCGGGACGCGCCCGGGACGCAGGACGCGGCCGGGACGCGGCCCGGACGCCGGCCGAGGGACGCGAGGGACGCGGCCCGGACGTCGGCCGAGACGGGGCCGGGACCCACGGGACGCGGGCCGGACGCGGGACGCGGGCCGGACGGCGCCGGGACGCGGCGTCCGGGACGCCGCGGGACCCGGCCGAGACCTCCCCGGACCGAGACGCGGAGACGCGGCCGGGACGCGGGGGACGCGGGATGCAGGACTCGGCCGGGACGCCGACCGAGACGCGGGACGCGGGACCCGGGGTGGGACGGAGCAAAGACGCGCGGGACGCGGCCCGGACGCGGCCCGGACGCGGGTATTGGGACGCGGCCGAGACCGGCCGGAGCCTCGCCGGGACGCCGGCCGGACCCCCCGGGGACGCGGCGCCTCGAGAGCGAGACGCGCGCAGGACGCGAGACGCCGGCACGGCCTTTGAACGATGTCAGGCCCGGACCACACTCAGGCCGGCAACCTGCGCCGTCACCATGACCATGACCCCCGCCGCGGGCGAAGCGACTCGCGCGGGCGCGGGCGCAGCCGCACCCCCGCGCCACGCAGTCGCTCGTCGTCGCGCTCTACGCGGCGGTCGCTAAGCCGCGACCGCGACGTCGGCCGCGACCGTTCGTCGTCGCCGCGCGCGCGCGACGGGCGGCGGCGACCCGCTAGTCGCGGGCGCGGCTCTCGCACCCCGTCGCGCGCGCGCGACGGCGACAGCCGCCGCGCTCCGAATTCCGCCGACGTAATGCCGCCACCGCCGCCGCGCCGCCGCGACCGCGACCGCTCCTGGGCGCGGCGCCGCAGCCGGTCGCCGCCCCGCAGCCGGTCGCCGCGCCGCAGCCGGTCGCCGCGCTACAGCCGGTCTCCGCGCCGCAGCCGGTCGCGGGACTCGGCCGCCTACCGCTCGAGCTCGCGCGCGCCGCCGCGCCGCGACGGTTCCGCGTACCGCGGCCGCAGCCGCTCGCCGCCGCACGACCGCTCGGAGCCGCCGCGGCGCTCGACGTCGCCGGCGACGCGCCCGCTGCGCGCGGTCATGGTCAAGCTCTGCTGCGCCGTGGAGGGCGACACGCTCGCGGACGGCGAGCAGCTCGGCGTCTACGTCGTGAAGCTCGCGCGGGAGCAGGTCGAGACGCTGTCGCTCAGCTCCGTGAAGCAGATCATCCGCAACGCGGTGGGGGAGCGCTTCGAGGGCTTCGTCGCCGCGAAGAG